GGCGGCATATGTGTTGTGTGTGTGTGGGTGTGTGCGTGCATCTTCGAGGCTCTCAATGGTGGGGTTGGCGGCCCGGGTGGCGAGCACTCCGGCCCGCGGATGGCGGCTGGGCCGCTGCCAGCGCCGCGCCGGCGCGCGGTGCGTCCGCGGCCCGCGTCGAAGCCCCCGCCCCCCGCTGGCGCCCGCCGGCCCCTGGGCTGCGGCTGCGGCTGCCCGCCGGGCTTCATCCATGACAGCCTCACCACCCATCGGCAGAACCCCGTCGCGGGCGTCTTCCGCGCCGTCCTTCGTGGACGCGGTCCTCCAGGCCCCCGCTGGGGCTGGCGCCTGGGGCGAGTGGGGCGATGCATCGGCTTGGCACCCGCCTCACCACGCATGCCCCCAGCGCCTCCATGGCATTTCTCGCCTGGCGCCCGTCGCGCGACCTTGGCGTCAGCGCTCTTCTTTTGCGGATCGTCCGCAGCACCGTGCCCTCTGCGGAGGCACGCGTCCGCGCCCCAAGGCCTGACAGTCCTGGCCCCTCCCGTCGGAGGCTCGACTCTCACCTTTGGACGCCCGAAATGGGTACGGAAAGAATGGGCACAATGCCCAACAACAAATGTTGTCCCAAACCAACAGCGGCCGCTGTTGGGCAGGCGGCCTTCTGTCTCGAATGGACACAGGCCACGGCGGCGCGGACAGCGAGTCCTGTTCAAAATGAACAGGAACTGCTGTTGGGCATTGTACCCATTCTTTCAGTACCAATTTCGTGCGTGCAGATCACCAGCCCCCCGGCTGGACTTCCAGGGCCCGGTGGTTCTCTCTTGCTATGTCGCCGCCGCAGCGCGGGCTCGAGTCCGCGGGTCGTTTTTGCTTTTCGTCGCCGTGTCAGCCCACGCCCTCATGCTCAGGACCCCTGTGTCGGCAAGGATGCGCGCCATCCTGGCTCCGCGCCCGCCGCTGCCGTGGCCCTGTGCATCCCGAAGGACACGCTGAGGCTGCCCCACGAGTTTCGGAGAAAAGCGACGACGAGCTTCGGAGGACGACGACGAAGGCGACGAGGACGCCAATTTCGAAGGACGATGACGATGACGACGACGACAACGACAACGACGACGACGACGACGAGTTTTGGAGGACGACGCTGGCGACGACGAGAACCGGAGGACGACGACGTACACAAGTTTCGGAGGACGACGGCGACGACGAGTTCAGGATAACCTTGCACAGGCCCACGAGTTTCGGAGCACGACGACCACCACGATGACGTGGGCACGAACACAGCACATGGAACGAACGACGAGGCGACAGGGGATAGGAAGGAAAACCGCGTGGCATGTGCGCTCCCTCGCGCCTCGGGCAAAGGAGGGCGAACGTCTGCCCGTGCACAGCCCACCACGTACAACCCTATGCTGCCCCGTGCCGAACCAAACTGCGGAACCCGCGCCGGCTCGCGTGGAGAACTGCTCGTTGTGCAGAGGTCTTTGGCGCAGAGGCGCCAGAGGAAAACATCCGTGCGATGTAGGGACACGTCGTTCATTCCTAATCGTGGTCGTTTCTAAGTGTTCCTGCCCCCCCCCAAATCAGGAAATTCTCGAATAATTAGAAATGAATAATGTGGAGTTGTGCGAGGGGCGACGAAGGAGGTCGAGGACTTCCAGGACCGACCCCCTGGGTCGAAACATCGGGGCGCCTGGGGTGGAACCCCTCTGCCCGACCTTGCCGGGCGTGGGTGCCGAATACTAGAAGGCTGGCCTGCAACGGACGGGGCCTGACGGGAACGGGTCGTGAACCCGAGGGCCTTCCCCCAGGACCAGCCTCTCGGCCAACGTCGTCTCCTGACCCGTGGAGGGCCCAGGCATCCGAGAGCGGGGAAATCTCAGGATCCGGTCTCCTCAAGACCCGCTGGCCGCATGGGGAGCGGGAACAAGGGGGGAGTGGGCGAGGGGGAGGAGCTGGAGGAACAGGACGCGAAAGAACGTCCAGGCTGGGGCGCCGGGAGGAGCGCGGGGCGCGGGGTGCACAGGCGCCGCTGCAGAGGACATCGCCCGCGCCACCGCTGCCGGAGCAGAGTGCGACGAAACTCCCGCCGCCTCGGGGGAAGTGGCTGGCACGCCTCCTCCTCCTCCTCCTCCTCCTCCTGTCTCCTGCCCGCGCTGCTCCAGCGGCCGTCCACGCGGGATTCGATGGAATGGGGTCCGAGGGCCGAGCCGTATATCACCGATGCAGCGCCGATGCATCGGCTATAATTACGTGGGCGTGGATATGACAGGGCTCCACATCGACAAGCCTCGCCGATGCGCCGCCGATGCGGCTCGATGCTCCGACCTCATTAGGCTCCGACTCCATGTGGAAGGCTTGGGTCCTCTCAAGTGGACGGGGAGGACAACTCCCATCCCCCACCAGTGAAGCCTTGGCCCCGTTGGGCGGTCTGCCCCACCTGCGGCGGGGATGGGCGCAGCCTGCTTCGGGCCTCGCAGCGTCCCTCCCCGCCTGTGGGAGGGAGTGCGCTGGGAGAGCAGGCTGGCCCTGTCCCGATTTGGTCGGGATGGCTCTGACGATGATGATCTCGCCCTGGTGGCAACGGGCCTCAGACGTCAGCCGCGGGAGGCAGGGCGCACGCCCCAGAGCTCGCCCGGTGCGCCCCCTGGTGCTCGCGAAGATGGCGGGCGGATCGTGGAGCTCGCTCCAATTCGATTGTAGACACGGTGTCTGCGGCTATTCCGTTGTGAGCTCGTCCAAGCCGTAGGTAGTACCATGCCAGCCCAACGATGTGGCAAAATGTGGTCGGCCCAATCCGCCACAGGCGTGCCAAGATCTCTGGTAGGAGGTTCAAGGTGATTGTACTGTTCGCGTGCGGGGCGGTCCCTAGGTTCGGGCGAAAGGGGGGGATAGCAAAGGGGGGTTTGATAATCAGCTCACGTAGCTGATTTTCCCGGCGCCTCCCGGCGCCGGAGGCAACTATGTATCGAGGAATGGGTCCCTCGGTGGGGCCGAAACCAGCTGCATGCAGAAAATTTCGTAACCCCCCCTTTCCGAATCCCCCCCTTTCGTCCGGCCCGAGTCCCTGGGGTGGGGCCCCCCCGACGAGATCTACCCTGGCAAGGTCCCGGGAAGCTCCCGGGACACCCGGGGCAGATATGGTCTTCCTCGTGGGCGCGCTCCTCGGGACCCCCGAAGGCAGTCCCAGGATCGCCCCATGGGGGGCTCCAAGACTGGCCATCGCTCGGACGTCCATTCCCTGTTTTTTTTTCGGTTTCGTGCGTGGCTTTTTCACCAAATGATCAAGGATGCTCCTCGATGGTCCTCGCCGAAGGAAAAATGCACACGTCCGAGCGATGCCAAGAAGAGAGCCCGGGAGCAGTCCAGGAACGAGGATCAACGAGTGGGAGGCCGCAGGCTACCTCTGAAATGGCCCAAGACGGTCCAGGACAGCGCTCCCCAAGGCCCCCCCCGAAACCCAAATCATTCGATTGCATGTGGCCGGTTCTGGAACCCCCTGAACCAAAACACCTTGCCATCTCATGGGGGGCCGATTTCTACTTCCGCCGGACTCCGCTGGGTGGAGCAGCCTCCGTTTTACTCCCGCCGGCTTCCGCTGGCCTTCCGCCGAGGATGAGATGGCAACTCCTTTGATCCTCGAAGGCGAGGCCCTTCATGGAACGCCCCATGTGGTGATTCAGTGGTGTTTGCTTTCTAGCTTTAGGTCGGGCGTGTCCCCCTACAGGGGCATTTTGGACGAAATATAGGAAATAGTCAAAACATACTCCCAAATGGTCAAACAGTATTCAAAAAATTGTCCCCAGACTATTCTTGAACATTTCTCCTGTAGAGGGACATGCCCGACTTAATTCTAGCTTTTGGTTTCCTATGGGCTTCTCAACCGTGTCTCCGCGAGCGTGTGGCCCTGGAGTCTCCCAAGAATGTCCCAGGAGAGGCCCAAACTTGTGGATGCCACGACAATGGACACCCTAACAATCCGATCATTGAATTTAAAATGTGTTGAACATGTCGGAACAATGTTCAAAACATGTTTTAAACGTGTTTTAACATGCTTAAAACGTGCTTAGCACATGTTTCAGACATCTGGAAATTATTTGGCAACATGCTTCCTCTCCATTGATCGTCCTCCACAAGCCCAAACGAGCTCCAAGAGAGCCCAAAAGCGGCCGAGGAGCGAAGATGAAGAGGCAGCAGGCCAAAAAGACGCCCCAGCACAGCCTCAAGTGGCCCCAAGATGGCCCCGAGCTGGCCCTAGATAGTCCAAGACAGCCCCCAGTAGGCCGCCAGGCAGCCAACATCCTTCGCACACACACTTCTGGTTTCTTCCAAAGCCGTGTGGCGTTCTCTCACTTTTGCTTCCTGTGGGCTTCGCAGGCCTCATGATGGATCCAGCATCGCCCAATGCGATTCCAAGTTGGAAGAGGCAGGGCTCCGACGAGGGATCCGAAGACCCACAAAAAGAGGCCCAGGAGGGGCACCAGAGAGCTTCGGAGTGCCTCCCAAAAATAAGACAAGACTGATGATCCATAGGTGGCAAGACCCCAGCACTCAAGATGCCCCGACGACAGGCCACAAGAGGCCCCAAGACCGCCCGAATTCGGCCCAGGATTGTCCAAGGCGGCTCAAGAGTTCCAGGTCCTTCAAACAACGATACCTTCCCTTCATGGCGATTCTTGGGGCCTGGAAGCCGACATGGAACAAACGCCTGCTCTGGTATGTTTCACTTCGACGCTGGAGGCCTGGGTCGAGAGCTCCGCTCTCGCGCAGGCGTGATAGGCACCCAGGCAGCCCCAAAGGGGGTCACGACTAATGAGGTCACCACAGCCTACAGGAAAAGGAAGCCCCTGACCCTGTAGAGCACCTCCCAGTGCTCCCGGAGACAGGAAACATGCAGCTAGAATCCCTCGATCGTCAATACCCCCTCCTCCTTGACCTTCGTTTTGCAGGAGGAAGTTGTGCCTCCCCCCCCCAGGGGTGGCCGCCCCTTGGCAATGCCCAAGCGGAAGAGAATGCCCCGCCTCGCCAGGCGCGTACCCCTCCTCAACGGTCCGGTCAAACCACCGCTCGCAGGCGACCAGGTCGCCCTGCACCGCCGCGGCCTTCGCGAAGACCTGCGGCTCTGGAGGCCGACCGAGCACAGACCCCCTCGGGTAGTGACACAACCGCGACGGGAATTTGTTGGCCGTTTTCGGCCTCCAGGGGGTCTGGGTGACGTGATGAGAAGATCATGGCCTCTGGGGTCTGGGGATGGTGCCGCATCGCGGATGCATCAGCGATACACCAGCGAGGTTGGGATGGAGAACATCGGGCTCCGCATCGCGCCGCGTCGCCGAGGCATCGCGCTCTCGCGTGGGACCTCCTCACAATTTATTGCGGCGCCGTGCCCCCCAAACTCACGAATCACGCTCTCGCTTTGAACTTCCTGACGATTTACTTGGGAATCGCGCTATCGCTCGAAACTTCCTTCATGATGGGTTGACGCTTCAGCGACCCGCCCGCTCGACCTGGCCGTCTGGACCCGCCCGCCCGACCTGCCCGTTAGGGTCCGCCCGCCCGGCATGCCCGTCTGGTTCTGCCGCTACTGCTCCTGCTCCAAAATCCTCCTCCTGCAAAGCTCGCTCGTGCTCTATCCTTCTCCCTCCCCCTTGTCTCTTCACTTCTCCCCTCCTTCCCCTGCTTCAGGGGCTGCGCCAATCACACGAGGCAGGCAGCCAAGGTATACCCCCAAGGGGGGGTACGTTCGAAGGCAGGTAGCGAGGGCTTGGGATATACGTGTTGAACGGCACGCGAGCAAATAAGAACCAGAGCAAATAAGAACCAACTGTCTTAAACTGAGTTGTGTCGTTGTCGTTGTTGTTGTTGTTGTTGTTGGTGTTGTTGTTGTTGTTGTTGTTGTGGCTGTCCCTGCTGGTGTTGATGGTGTTGTTGTTGCTGCTGTTGTTGCTGTTGTCCTTTCGTTTCAGGGAAATAATCACTGTTTACCCCCCTCCAATAACATATGCGTTTTTCAATTGAAGTGCCCTGCCTGGAGCTCGCACATTTTTTTACCAGGGAGCGTTTTCTTGCTCAAGCTGCGCCCCTGTCCCCCGAACTACAACAACAACGACTCCCGCCTGACACTGCCCCACCATTTATTCCCAAATCGAGCTCTCGCGAGTTCACCGCAATTTGTGCAAACGCCGCGCCCTCGACATTCAGGAGTCACGCTCCCGCTGTGATTTTCCTCACGATTGATTTGGGAATCAAGCTTTCGCTCGAGACTTCCTCGCGATTCATGCAGGACGCACGCTTCAACAACCGGCCTGCTCGACCTGGCCGCCTGGGCCCTCCTTCCCAGCCCGCCTGGTAGGGTCTACCCACCCGATCTGCCCGTCTGGTTCTGCCACGTGTTTTCTGCTCCTAGCCCCCCTCCTGCTAGTCTCTCTCGTGTTCCATCCTTCTCCCTCCCCAATGTCCCTTCCTTCCATCCGTCATCTTTTCCCCTGCCGCACGGATTGCGCGAAAAATACGTCGCAGGTGCGAAAGAAATACCCCCAAGGGAGTACGGTCGAAAACGAAAAGGGCGGGTGTCGATGGTTTGGGATTTACGTATGGAGTGGCACGCGACCAGATAAGAGCGAACAGTCTTAAACTGAATGTTGCTCTTGTGGTTGAGTTTGCATTTCGAATAATAATTTATGGTCGATCCCCCCGCTGGTAACCATTGCATGTTGAATTAAAATGCTCCTCCTGGTGGTCGTGCCATCTTTTCTTCCAAGGGAAATCGAAGTGTCACAAAACTTGGCCCCTGGCCCCCGAGGTACAACAACAACGGCTCCCGCCTGATTCTTCCTCACAATGTATTTCCAACCCGCTCTCTCGCGATGGATGTCCTCACAATGTATGCAGACATCGGTTTTCGCGTGGGACTTCACCGCATTTTTTTTGTCAAACGCCGCGCCCTCGACACTCAAGAATCACGCCCTCGCTGTGGATATCGGTGTACATGTTCTCCGGGTTTACTTCGAAATCGCGCTATCGCTCCTTCCATCCATCATCTCTTCCCCTGTCCTAAGGGCTGCACGAAATACACATCATTGCAGGTTCGGAAGATATACCCTCAGTGGGTACGATCGAAGACGAGTGGGGCGGGGATCGAGGGTTTGGGATATACGTGTTGGATGGTACGCGAGCAGATAAGAGCGAACAACATTAACATGTTTATCGTTGTTGTTGTTGCTGCTGTTGTTTCGGTTGTTGTTCATGCAATTGTTGTTGACGTTGTTGTTGTTGGTGTTGTTGTTGTTGAACTCTCACTTCTGGAGAACAATTCTTGTTGACCCCCCCCGCCCGGTGCACAGTGTAGCTTTCTGTTGAAATGCCACTCCTGGGGCATCGCACCCCTTTTGTTATCAGGGAAAACATTGAAGCTCAAACTGTGTCGTTGGCCCCCGGTTTACAACAACAGCGACTCTCGACTTGAAGCTCAAACTGTGTCGACTGATACTTCCTCACAATGTATTGAAGCATCGCGCTCTCCCTTGGGGCTTCCTGGCTATTTACCACCGAATCGCGGCTCTCGCCTGATACTTCCTGACAATTGCTTGCAGGATCGTGTTCTCGCTTGGGACTTCCTCGCAACTTGCCACCGAACCGCTTCGCTTGATACTTCCTCACAATTTATTCAGTTGCCGCTCCTCGACGCTCAAGAATCGCGCTCCCGCTACATGTTGCGTGGCGGTTCAAGCAAGAATCACGCTTCAACGACCCGCCCGCTCGACCCGCCGGTCGGGACCTGCCCGCCCGACCAGCCCGCTAGTGACTGCAATCGCCGCTCGCTGCCATTCGACCGCCTTCGATGCCTCTCGCTGCCCGAATTGGTTCCGCGGTCGCCTTCGCTCGCTGCCCTTCGTGGCCCTTTTGCTGCCCTCAGTGGCCCCGTCGCTGCCCTTTGTGGCCCCGCATTGTGTGCTCTTCGTGGCCCCCGCTCGCACGCGCCCGTCGTGGCCCCACTCGCATGCCCTTCGTAGCCCCGCTGCCGCCCTTCGTGGCCCCCTCGCTGCCCTTCGTGGCCCTTTTTTTGCTGCCCTCAGTGGCCCCGCTGTCGCCCTCTGTGGCCCCGTATACGAAATCCCTTCGTGGCCCCCGCTCGCTCGCGCCCGTCGTGGCCCCATTGCTTGCCATTCGCGGCCCCCTCGCCGCCCTCTGTGGCCCCGGTGTTGCCCTCAGCGGCCCCGTCGCTGCCCTTTGTGGCCTCGGATGTTATGCCCTTCGTGGCTCCCGCTCGCTCGCGCCCCGCGTGGTCCCATACGCATGCCCTTCGTGGCCCCGCTGTCGCCCTTCGTGGCCCCCTCGCTGCCCTTCGTGGCCCTTTTGCTGCCCTCAGTGGCCCCGCTATAGCCCTTTCTGGCCCAATCTATGTGTGCCCTTTTTGGGCCCTGGTCGTTCGCGCCCTTCGTGGCCCCATATGCATGCCCTTCGTGGCCCCGCTGTCGCCCTTCGTTGCCCCCTCGCTGCCCTTCGTGGCCCCGTTTCTGCCCTCAGTGGCCCCGTCCTTGCCCTCTGCGGCCCCATATGCGTATGTCCATCGTGGCCCCCGCTCGTTCGCGCCCGTCGTGGCCCCCTCTGCATGCCCTTCGTGGCCCCATTGCTGCCGTTTGTCGCCCTGCTTGTCATTTGTGGCCCCCATCGCTGACCTTCGTGGCCCCGTCGCTGCCCTCAGTGGCCCCGCTGTCGCCATTTGTGGCCCCTTCGCTGTCCTGCGTGGCCCAATTGCTAGCTACCCTCAGTGGCCCCGTCGTTGCTTTTTGTGGCCCCGCATTATCTGCCCCTCGTGGGCCCCGCTCGCGCCCTTCGTGGCCCCATGGGCATTCCTTTAGTGTCCCCGCTGTCGCCCTTCGTGTCCTACATCGTGCCCTTCGTGGCCCTGATGTCGTTCTCTCTCTCTCTCTCTCGCTTTCGCTCGTCGTCGTCGTTGTCGTCGTGGTCGGTCCCCTGTCCGTCTCTCTTGGGGTCGGGTTGCCGCCGATCAGCGCTGCCGCTGGCCAGGCCGACGGTCCGCGGCCGCCCCGCCGCGTGCCGGGGCCTGGCCTGCAGGGAAGAAAGCTATACCCCCCACAAGGGGCACGATCGAAGACGAAGAGGGCGGGCATCGAGGGTTTGGGAAATACGCGTTAACGGACACTAGGATTGTTGTTGTTATTGTTGTTTTTGTTGTGGTTGACCTCTCATTTATGAACAGATCTTGTTGATTCTCCCTCCCCGGTGCAGGCTGCTGTTTCTCAATCAAAGTGTGCCACTCGACGCTCGCACCCTGTCTTCTGCCAGGGAAAATCTTGGTGCTCAAACTGGGCCCCTGGCCCCCGGGATTGCAACAGCAACGGCTACCGCCTGTGACTTCCTCCAAATTTGCTCAGAACCCCCGCTCCTGAGACTTCCTCACAATTTACTCAGGATCGGTGCTCTCGCCTGTGACTTCCTCGCAGTTTAGTCAGGACCCCCGCTCCCATCTGAGACCTCCTCACAATTTACTCAGGAACGGCGCTCCCGCTTCAGACTTCCTCGTAATTGAATCAAGACTTCCTCGCAATTTAATCAAGACCCCCGCTCCCGCCAGAGAGCCCTTCACAATTTATTCAGGAATTGCGCTCTCGCCTATGGCTTCCATGCGCTGTATTCAGAAATCGCGCTTTGGACGCTCAGGAAACACGCTGCGCCAAGGACGCCGCTACAATCTACTTAGTAATCGCGCCCTCGCCGTACTCAGGCATCCAGCTTAAATATCCCACCCGCCCGACCCGCCCGTCAGGGGATCGCCCGCCCGTCGTGGGCTCCCGCCCGAGACTTCCTTCAGGAACGACGCTTTCGCCTAGGACTTCCTCGAACGTTCACACTCTACTTTCCTGCTCCTCCTCCCTCTCCCTCCTCCCTCTTCCCTCCTCTCCTCCCTTCTCTCTCCTTCCTCTCTTCCCTCATCCTTATGCCTCTCTGCCCTATCCCCTCTCCTTCATCTCCCTCCTCCCTTCTCCCTCCCCTCTCCTGCCTCCTCCCTCCCTCTTTCTTTCTCTCTCTTTCTCCCTCTCTCCCTCTCTCTCTCTCTCTTTTCTCTACGTCCCTTATCGGTCTTTCTCTCTCTGCCTCTAATCAACCGCCCCCCTCTTCGCTCCTTCTCTCCTGACGTTTTTCCTCTTCCTTCGTCCCTCCCCGTCCCTTCCTCCCACTCTCCCTTGTTCTCCCCCTCCTCCTTCGCGGGGCCCACAACAATTCCAATGGCGGGCACATGTACGCCCACGAAGGATTGTCCGCCCGTTCAGGTTTGCCCGCCTGTCTAAGCCCGCCGCCCCCCGCAAAGAGAAAGGATCCCCCCAAAGGGGATGTAATCGAAGACCAAAAGGGCGGGTACCGAGGGTGTGGGGAACTCGTTTTGAATGACACGCGGGCAAGTAAGAGCGAATAATCAAAGACTGATTGTTGTTGTTGTCGTTGTCGTCGTCGTCGGCCCCCTCGCGACCCCACTCACAACCCACTCGAGACCCGCCCGCGACCGACCCGCGACGCACCTACGACCTGGCCCGCGATCCCCGGGACCGGGCCCGCGACCCACCCACGACCCACCCGCGACCCACCCCGCGACCCACCCCGCGACCCACCCGCGACTCGCCCCCCGCGACCCACCCCGTGCCCGCTCCCTCACTCTTTGTCCGCAACTGCGTGGTGCTGCATATTTTTGTGGCGGAGTTTCACCCTGAGGCGTCTTCTGACGGCCCTTGGGTCGGAGAGGGCCCGGAGCCCGAGCGCGGTCAGAAACCTTCCAGGACCAGTTTGCCTCGGGACCCGCTTCCCGCAAAGTTCCCGCAAGGCCGTCCAGCCCGGTCTCTGGCGGCCGTCTCAGGGGCGGCCAAGAGGGGAGCGTCCAAGAGGGGGGGACGCAAATCATGGCCAGCGGCATGTGCCAGGCCCAATGGGGGGGCGGGGACGTAATGAAATAAGAAGAGGCGCCATGAACCCACGCCATGAGAACCCCCCCCTTAATCATCACCGCCCTCTTGGCCGCCCCCGACGTTCGGGACGACCCTGGCACCCCCCGGAACGCTCCCCGCGAGGCGCAGCTGCTGAACAGCAACCTGAAGCTGGACTGCCTCCAGAAGCGCACGAAGACCACCGGAAAGACTGCGCACCTCGATGCTCCCATGACCCCCGACGTCGCTCTCTTTTGCCACGACGTGGACCTTCAGAGGTCTGGACCCTTCCTGACGACCTACCAGACCACCCCAAGCGAACCCGAAGACCCACATGTCTGGCTGGGGGTAGACACGGGTTCCACACGTGTTTTTCCAATGCTCCCCGACGCGCCCCCCCCATCAGGAATGGATGGCAAATTTGGACCTTCGGGTTGGGTTAAGGTGGTTTGGTGGGTGGTGACTTCCTGGGGACCGGCTCTTCAATCTGAGTCGTTTGTGACGGCCCCGAGGCCCGGTAAGGGCCCCCCGGACGCAGAGGTCAGCGAAAACCGCTGTCATGTGTGCACCGTGCGGCGAGCATCTCAGGATCGGGGGGTCCAACATCCATTCCAAGACCGCCCGGGGTGCGTTCTCGCACAACTTTCGAGGCGGATCCAGCCGTGGCGACGAAAAGCCCCCTGGAGGCCCAGAGAGGCTGGAGCAAATGCGAGAAAGTTCGAACTCCTCGGTCCTCGAACTTCTCTCACGACACGAGGGGCTCTAGGGTTCGGCCTCCTGCCCCACCCTCCGCGGCCGAGCCGGCGCAGGCAGCGGGCCTCGAAGGTGCCGGCGTCGGGGGCGAAGCCGATCTTGGCGCCCTCGCGGAGCCAGCCCTCGGCCACGTCGGTGTCTCCGTTCCTCGCCCGCGTCGGGGCGGGGCGCCGCGCGGCGGCGGGGCGGGAGCGGGGGAGGGCTCGAGGCTCGCGCGGCGGGGGGGCGGGAACGGAGGAGGAGGGAGGAGGGAGGAGGGGGAAGGAGGAGTAGGAGAAAGCAGGGTGGAGGACGAGGAGGGAGAAAGGATGAGGAGGAGAAGGAGGAGGGGGAGGAGGAGGAGGAGGAGGAGGAGGGGGAGGAGGACGGGGGATAATGATGATGATGATGGCAATGATGTTGGTGATGACGAGGAGGAGGATAATGATGATGCTGATGATGATGACGACGATGATGATGACGACGATGATGACGATGATGATTATGATGATGATGCTGATGATGATGGTGGTGATGGTGATGACGATGGTGGTATTGATGCTGAGGCTGACGATGGTGATGGTGGTGGTGATGATGATGATGATGATGATGATCATGCTGCTGCTGCAGCTGACGATGCTGGTCATGGTGATGTTGATGGTGATGATGACGATGGTGATGAGGAGGTTGATGATGTTGATGATGATTGCGATGACGATGACGGTTACGACAATGCTGTTGGTCATGATGATGATGATGATGATGATGATGATGATGACGGCGACTATGATGATGATTCATGATGATGATGACGATGATGATGATGCCGAAGAGGATGATGCTGATGCAGATGATGATGATGATGATGCTGATGATGCTGATGGTAAGAATGATACAACTAATGATGATGCTGATGATGATGATGAGGAGGAGGAGGAGGAGGTGGAGGGGGAGGAAGGGTGGAGGAGGAGGAGGAGGAGGAGGAGATGGAGGAGGAGGAGGAGTTCGAGGAGGAGGGGGAGGAGGAGGACTAAGAGGAGGAGGAGGTAAAGGAGGAGGATGGAGGAGCAGAGGGAGGGGGGAGGTGAAGGAGGAGGACGGAGGGGATGATGATGGTGATGATGGTGACGATGATGATGATGATGAGGATGATCAGGATGACGATGCTGATATTGATGTTGATATTGATGATGATGATGATGATAATGATGATGATGATAATGATTGTGGGAATGATGGTGATGACGACGATGACGACGATGATGCTGCTGCCGCTGAGGATGACGATGATGATGCTGATGATGATGATGATGATGATGATGATGATGATGATACTTACCATTATTATGATGCTGCTGATGATGTTCATGATGATGATCATGACTATGATGGTAGTGGACATGGCGATGGAGATTGTGGTGATGATTGTGATGATGAGGAGGAGGTTGGGGGAGGAGGAAAAAGAGAAGGGAGGAGGAGGAGGAACAGGAGGAAGAGGATGGAGGAAGAGGGGGAGTGCAGAGGAGGTGGGTGGAGAAAGATTAAGACGGAGAAAGGATGAGGGAGGTGGGGGGGAGAGGATCGAGGTTCGATGCTTGAGGTTCGAAATTTGGTGATGATCAGCATGTTGAGTATTTTGATATTTATGAAGGTGGTGCGAACGACGAGCATGGCGACGACGGCGACAATGATGATGACGATGATGACGATGATGATGATGATGATGATGATGATGATGATGATGATGATGATGATGATGATGATGACGACCATGGCGACGACGACATCACCGACGGCAACGAAGGTGGCGACGATGATGACGATGATACGGCTGATGAAATTTTACGCTGTTAACACCATCCCTGCAGAAAGTCGCTATGCTGGCTACTGTCCTGTCAGACCCGCGTGAACCGCGAAGGCCGTGGTACGCAGAGCACGCCGCGCGACGTATTACTCTGAGGCTCGACGGCCGTGCGCTCTTGAGCTCCCCAACCCCGCGCGCACCATTATTTCGTCCCTCGTCCTCACCCTTCTCCTTGAAGATGCAGCTTCTGGGAGATGTTCGCAAGAACGGTTGAGGGAAATTCAGCCCGTTTCAGCGGCCATGAAGCCGGATCAGGCTGGATGTTGGGCCCTGGCTGAAGCCAAATTGAGCCAGATTAAGCTGACTTGAACCGGATTAGATGGGATTCGGCCGGATAAGGCCGCTTTTCGACCACGGATACACCAGCGCCGGTTCTGCATCAAACCTCCCAGTAGTTGCATCCTGACCTCCTGGAAAGGGGAGGTCAGGGCCCAGGGAGCGGGGACTCTGACAAGCCAGGACATGTGGCGCGCCCGAGACAAGCTGGCGCCGTGGGCCGAAACAATTCTCCATTCTTCGTTCTCTCCAGGTGGAGGTTTCAAAGCCCTGGTTAGCCGTGTCCTGGTTCAGGGGGCCCAGGAGGAGAGGAAGAGGCTGGGGCCTGTGGGCGACGGGCTCGCTACAGCGCCGGCGCCGCGGCTACTCGTCGTAGGACCCGCCCTCGCTCCAATCCTTGTCGAAGGCCTGGAGGCTAGCCCGGATTTCGTCGTCGCCCTTTGCAAGTACGCGTTCCGGCTGGCAATATATCTGCCAGCAGTTCGCGAAACTTCCATAATCAAAAGGGTTCGTCCTGTAGTAGTTCTTAACGTGCTCGTTGGTTGTCAGGTTCTGCATAGTGATCACCGTATGATAGATGGACAGGAGCAGCACAGCGACGAGCAAGACAAAACAGTAGATCATGAATACGATCAGCTCGGGCTTGTCGAACACAATCCACAGCCAAGTCACCATGTCGGGCTCCTGATTCCTCAAGTTCTTCTCGTGCCAAATCATGAACACGACGTACATGCACTCAATCAAGAATATCGTTGCGCTGTAGATCAAGGTGACAAAGGCCCTGTAATTGTACAGCCCGACGCAATTGCCCAACCACGTGCAATGGTGGTCGAAGCGCAGGACGCAATTGTCGCAGAAAGAACAATGCTTCGACCGGGGCGGCCTGAATATCATGCAGGTCGTGCAGAACTTTTGCCTCACAATCACGCCGCCGTTCGAGTTGCCAGGGCTCGGGTCCGGCAACAGCAGGAATCGCTGGTGCGGGCTGCCGGTGGCGTGGTTCAGCGCGTGACCGTCTTCGAAGTCTGGGATCATATTTCTCCTGGGCGCGATCCCTGGGTTCATGAAGGCTGCGAGAAAAAACGATACCACTATCGCCACGGAGAGAACGATCTGCATACCCTTGACGACGTGGAAATCTGGAAGCTGGGGCAGGATCTGGTTCCAGTAGAGGATGCCTGGGAGTAGTGTGAAAATGGCCGTGTTGATGGTGTTTGGCCACAGCTGGCCCGCGACAAACCGGCCGCCAACGCACACGGTGCTCCCACCGCGGTAATCGTCGCCCGTGAGGTAAGCCTTGAACTCCTCCTCAGGCCCGCAATTCGGCAGGAGCGGACTCCAGGTCGTGAACGTTTTCGCCGGAGCCTTGTCCTTTGCCCCGTCCAGTTTCAGAAGGGGCTCGGAGTAGTCGAGATACCTCGACATGGCACGACGGGGCTCCGCGCAGTCTTCCGGACAGAGGACGATCACAAGGGGAAGGCCGCCCGGTGGAGCCAGCCTGTGGAGCTCCCAACAGCTTGAGCCAACATGGCTACGGATGCTGCTGCTGTTGCTGCTGCTGATGATTGCGATGGTGATCATGACCTCGGTAGAAGACGAATGCGAAGACGGCCAGCCCGCGCTAATTACCTGCCACGCTCTATAATGACGATGATGCTGATGATGCTGATGATGATGATGATGATGATGATGATGATGATGATGATGATGATGGTGCTGCTGCTGATAATGATGGTGGTAATGACGGTGTTGGTGAGGCCGAGGAGAAGCGCATGTAGCATGCAGTGCTAGTCAATCAGGATGAAGAGGTACAAATGTAAAGGCGCTCAGGGGATGGGTCGTCAAGCAACGGCAGCGACGGCTTCAGCAAGACAATTGGCACCCCTGCGTGTGATATGGCCGCGTGATCGCGTCTCTTTAGCCCGCGGACCGGCGCATCCCCCAATCAGAAAAGGGAAATTAGCCTGACGAAAGACCCAACCATACGTAGTTGTGAATACCGCAATTGTGGATATATTCCTCGGTGGCGCCCCCGGGCCACGAAACGTGTGAGGGGTGCGCCGAGATGGGGGGGTGGAACCGCATGTGAGCGCAGCCACTGGGGCCTTCGGTGGAGCTCCCTATGGGGCCACGAAACGTGTGAGGGGTGTGCGAGAATGGGGGGTGGAACCGCATGCGGGCGCAGCCACTGGGGCGCTCGGTAGAGCTCCCTATGGAGCCACGAAACGTGTGAGGGGTGTGCCAGAATGGGGGGTGAAACGCATGCGGGCGCAGCCACTGGGGCCTTCGGTGGAGCTCCCCATGGGGCCACGAAACGTGTGAGGGGTATGCCAGAATGGGGGGTGGAACCGCATGCGGGCGCAGCCACTGGGGCCTTCGGTGGAGCTCCCTATGGGGCCACGAAACGTGTGAGGGGTGTGCGCATGCGGGCGCAGCCACTGGGGCCTTCGGTGGAGCTCCCTATGGGGCCACGAAACGTGTGAGGGGTGTGCCAGAATGGGGGGTGGAACCGCATGCGGGCGCAGCCACTGGGGCCTTCGGTGGAGCTCCCTATGGGGCCACGAAACGTGTGAGGGGTGTGCCAGAATGGGGGGTGGAACCGCATGCGGGCGCAGCCACTGGGGCCTTCGGTGGAGCTCCCTATGGGGCCACGAAACGTGTGAGGGGTGTGCCAGAATAGGGGGTGGAACCGCATGCGGGCGCAGCCACTGGGGCCTTCGGTGGAGCTCCCTATGGGGCCACGAAACGTGTGAGGGGTGTGCCAGAATGGAGGGTGGAACCGCATGCGGGCGCAGCCACTGGGGCCTTCGGTGGAGCTCCCTATGGGGCCACGAAACGTGTGAGGGGTGTGCCAGAATGGGGGGTGGAACCGCATGCGGGCGCAGCCACTGGGGCCTTCGGTGGAGCTCCCTATGGGGCCACGAAACGTGTGAGGGGTGTGCCAGAATGGGGGGTGGAACCGCATGCGGGCGCAGCCACTGGGGCCTTCGGTGGAGCTCCCTATGGGGCCACGAAACGTGTGAGGGGT